AAATAAGTATAAAATATCAAAACATTGATTAAAAAAAAATCTTGTTCCTCTATATGTTTTTGATTAATAATAAATTTCTTTTTCATTGAATAGAAAATATTGTTTATCCCGATTGAAAATCCATGCCTTTATAGGTACATTTTTTTTATAACTGCGACAAAACTAAATGAAAGCAAAATTGACCTTAGAATGTCTTTGCAATTTCAAGTTGACCTTAGCCTGACATTTTTTTGTTACTGTTATGGTATTACATTTAGATCCGTTTTATGAAGATGCACACATTCAGGAGTGTAAAACGAAACCAATAATATATTGCGACTTCAATTTCGACTTTGAATAACTGTCAATGTGACATACATGTCGAACAATTCTGTTTTTTTAGTGTCAAGAGTAAAAAGGCATACAAACACGGACCTTCCTGTATTATTGTGTCATATCTAATTATTAGGGATAGATAATAAACGCATGTAAGGTCGAGACTTGGCTTATAATAGGCACATTAAATCCAGTTATAACAAACTAACGTCATGAAATAGGTTGGAATTATTCCACATGTGGAGCAGGATCTACTTACCCTTCCGGATCACCTGAGATCACCCCCAGTTTTTGGTGGGGTTCGTGTTGCTCAGTCTTTAGTTTTCTATGTTGTGATTTGTGTACTGTTGTTTGTCTGTTTTTCTTTTTTACCATGGCGTTGTCAGTTTATTTTCGACTTATGAGTTTGAATGTCCCTTTGGTATCTTTCGCCTCTCTTTTATTAGTGTGAAAGTATAGTCTTTCACCCAAAACTCCATTTGATGTAATCTAAATAAAAGTCTGCGTTTTTACACAGGGGAAGATCCAGGATTTTTTTTTTAAAGCGGATGTGTTATTTCCGATAATTGAAGATAATTATACTACTAAAAATTTATATACATCGTGAATAACATGCTATTTTTTTTGGCATTAAAAAAAGGGGACGTACGCTCTCTATGCTATGCCCCCACTGGATTCGCCACTGGTAACACCATCTTTGTTTAATACACGATAAACAGGCAGGTATAACATATAGAAAAATATATACTGCACCAATCTTTTTTTTTCAAAAAAAAAAGCCTGGTCTAAATAAGCAGCAAATTACAGCACGATATGATTGATTGATTGTTGGTTGATTAACGTCCGGTGGCAAATATTTCATCCATGTTCAGGATAATATCACTATAGGAAATGTCACGAACCGTATTAGCCGCTATTAAAAGGCTTCTACGACTGTTAAAAGTCATTAAAGAAATACATAATGAGAAAGTATGCTATTTAGGTTTCTTTTCCTATCCCATTTCTTCTGATTATACCAGACCATCGAGATTAGCGCAGGGGCTTTTTGGATTTCTCGGGTTTTATGAGGTATGATATGACAAATCCCATATTTAAGCAATATGTTTTGAATAGCAAGTAGGGATATACTTGTTTATTATATGTGTGTGTTCCATAATAATAAAAACAAAGAGCTCCGCCATGAGCGCATGATACGCCCGTTGCTTTTACAACAAATAAAGTTCCATAACTCCCCAATGGCATATCAGAAATTTATATATAAAAAAAAAACAACTAAAGGGCGTTTATTCTAATAGATATAAACCAGTCACCAAAATTTCATGAAAACTGCTCAAAGCATTTTTGAGTTATTGTCCGAAAACTAGAAAATCCCCCCTTTTTATGAATAAAATCCCATAACTCAGAAATGTAAAATCTTAAATTTATAAAAATCGAAAGGGAGCTTACGTCAACAGATAGAAACAATTCACCAAAGTTTCATGAAAATTGGTAAAAGCGTTTTTGAGTTATTGTCCGACATGTTGACGACGGACGGACAGACGGACAATGGTATACCATAATATGTCCCGTAAACGGGGTGTATAAAAAATCGTACCCTATATTTAACCTGAAAAGTCTTAAAGTTTAAACTTAATAATAATGTCCATTATGGTTAAAATATTTGACCAATTTCTATGTTCAGTGTATTATTACTGTTCTTTTTTATTGTTAGATTGGTTTACATTTTAAGGAGATTTGGTGTGATTGCCTTTGAGACAACTATCCACCAGAGTATAAATGACGTCGATGTAAGCTATCACCGTATTGTTTTCAACAATGAACAAAGCCTATACCGTGTAGTAAGCTATAAAAGGCCCTATATGTTTTATGCTAATTCTTATTCCGATAACCACAAAAAATTAATTATATATTTTCGATTGCAATGCACAAAATTTGAATATTTGGGTAATAGAATTTCAAGTAATATAAAATAAGGTGATGTGGTATGATTGTCATGAGACAAGATGTTATGGAAGAATTAGAAATATAACATTGTAGGCTAGCACACTATTATAATACAACACCAGTTTTGTTTCTAATTACTTTTTTGTAGTCCTTCAGCCTTTCTTATATTATTGCAGATACAAGGGTCAATCATTACATGTACTTTCATTTCTGAACTAAATCTGTGAATTTCCTAACTAAACATTTCAACTAAACAAAGTAAATTTACAAAAGCATGATTGCTAAATAAATTTAGAAAAAAAATAATTACAAAGGAAACCAAAGAAAATAAATGATAAAAATACACGAATAATCAAATAATTTGATATATCATAATCAAAGAAATCTAATAATCTTGATTAATGGTAACCTTGTCCTTAGAGATCGTCCTTACGCTTACGGATAATTGACCGACCGGTGTGCTTTAATATACAATGTAGTCCAAGTTCTAAACCAAAAATTGAAATACATAAAACTTATTGTAAGTTTGTATTTACTGTTGAACCACATTCCCGAGTTCAAACCCTGCACATGATCCATATTACTTTGGCTCATTATAAGTCTTTCTTAAATCATTGTACCGTACTATTTTTTTTTCAAGTATTCAGGTTCTTTCTTCTTGGGACATTTTTTTTCAGTCATCTTCAGAATAATCCGAAAGTTTTTTTTTCAGACTCCAAAGTGACGGTAATGTCTGTTTATATTCAGTTCTCATAGATAACGAAAATAGTATGTTTTTTCGGATACTAAATACATAACATTATATTTCTCAAATCAGCCAATTCTAATAAAAATATACCTTAGGCTAGTTTATCAATGTATGGCAATCATCAGATACAGCAGAAGTATTGATTGATTGATGTTTGTTTATATATTGCATGCATGTTCAGGACGAGAACAAATTAACAATAAATAAAATAAGTAGGTCCTGTAATAGAGGCCGTCTGGGATGAAAGTCGGAGGAAATTTAGACTGCCACTGGAAATTGAGGGTATATTGGAAAGAGACAGAAATTTCCGCAAAAATAATCATGTTCAACATTCAAAAACGTTTGCATCTAATATTTTATTTGTATTATTACCATTGAACAAAACGTGTTGGGGATCATTCAAAATATGTCACCAATGCCGAAAAGGTATTTAGAATTGATGTGAGATTCATTCTGTTTGTGGTGCCTTCGGTAACTATTGCACGTATCCAAATTAGTATGTTACATGTAGCCTTACGCATATCACAGGGTCAACATCCATACAAAATAAAATCGGAAGTTCGGAGACGATTTAACAAGTTTGATAAACTTTCCGGTATTACATTACAAGCATATTTTAATTTAATGCATCTCGTCTCACAGGTTACTTTGTATTACATTCGTAGTTTTGTTAATGTCCAACATAAAAGTTTTCATTTGTACATAAGAGTCGATTACAAAAATGAAATTGAACGAATAAAGTAAAATGTTGTATGGTTATAGATTTTTAGATATTTATTTAGATGTTTATTTCAAAATAAATCTCAGCCGCAGTAACTGAGTTAACAGAAGCGAAAATACATGCATAGTTACATCAAATGATGAGTAGTAAACAATAAAGATAAACACATTAAAATAGAAAATACAAGAAAGAATAGATCGACCAAGGATTTATAATAAATAATTCTTTATTGTCATATAAGTAAAACATGATACGTGAGACAAATTCAAATAATACAGTAAGTCTTACTACATAAATCCTTGGATCGACCAAGAAATTGATTTTAAAAGTGTTTAAAACGGTTCGACGAAATATATTGGTTCCTAGTGAAAAGTAATATGCAACAAGGAAGCGATATTTCAAGTGTATAACAATTGTTTGGCTGTGACCGAATATCTTTAACATTAGGATTTTAAAGTGAATCAATAAAGTGTATCCCGGTAGTATGTCTGTGACCGAATATTTTTAAACTAACGTCAAGAAAAGATACTCTTATAACTGACTTTAGTGAGTTCATTTTACATTTGATAATTTTTTATGACGATTGATTATTAGACTATGTTTTTGTTTTATCCTTGTAATTCGTGACTGTTGTTTTAATACTGTGTTATATTTTATGTTATTGCTTGACCCATAAAGGTGTAATTTGCAAATTAAATTATTATTAAATTAAATGTAGCCTTTTAAGGTCAAAAGTAAGTTTGGATTATTTTGACGAGGGTTGATTAGATAAGATGTACCCTCTTTACAATCAATGCTAAATTTTGATTAATTTTGAATGAGGATTGATATTAAGATAAATGTTACCCACTTGATGGTCAATACAAACGAGGAATTTACCTTAAATTAGTTTATTGGTCATCGATAAGAATATAAAGCCATAAGTTATGGAATGTATCCAACTAAATCAATAATCACACATTCAATAGACAGATTAACATACTGTTGTACAATTGTTGGAATTCTTATGAATGAACCTTGTAATTGCCTCAGGCCATTACTATTTTACACTTAGGTGATTTTTGCCACGCCCGTATTCACTTATAAGGAAATTTCTACTTCCGATATCATCATAATGAATGGCATTATACATTTTTGGTGACACCCTCGGGACCAAGTAGCCAATAGTATGGCCAGTAAATTCACACCAATTTAAGCGTGACAAATTTCAGGCACGTGGGCGCAGTGAGTGACGTCACCAAGAAGGCAATTCTGATATAAAATTCGTATTGTTGGAACTTGTGATTATAAAACTTATTCAGAGTCTGAACATACATACTAATATTAAAATTTACAGTGTAAAATATTACAACTTACTTTTATATTGGAATTTGGGATTTTTCTAGAAAGAAACGAAAGGAATTACATTAAACTAGAAACAAGTGATCTCTGTAAACTAAGGTAAGTTAAAGATAATTATTGAATATTAATTAAAGATGATGCAATCTTGCATTTAGTCTTTTATTTAAGCAGAAGTCCATTCTTTTGAAATAAATTATATCAATAATTTATTGTTTTATTATACTTAAAAGGACAGAACTTAAATAAATATACATGTACACCATCTTATCTTTTTATTTATTCAATAAATCATATTGTTAAAAAAAATCATAACTGAAGGATTACTGTTGTGTTATCTAAATTGTTGTTTTATTCCCTATGTTTCTTCACCAGATGTAAAATTTAATGTTGAAGTCCATTAAAAAAAAAAAAACCAAAAAAAAACACGTGGTTCTGGAATATTCACCATGTTCGCTCGAGACTTAAAATTGGAAATCCCAAAACAGCAATCTTTTGAGAGCATAAAACTTAAGAGCTTAAACACAACAGCCAATTTTGATAATAGTATAAATTGGACAACGTCGAGATTATATCAAATAAAAACTGAGTTTGCATTTCAAAAAAAAAAAAATCTAATTGCTTAAAAGTGGTACACAGATAGGGGTAGGTTTACGGAAGGAAGTAACTTAAAGTTAGCATCTGATGCCCAGCACATATCTTTGAACGATGAATGTAAAGGCCCATCAAACGAATGCCATATTATAGTAGACACTATTAAAAATAGAAATACTAGATTAGAAAATATTAAAAATTTCGACATATTTAAAAAAATATATACTCGTACGATAATCCTAATTGTTCCTATAATAAATTCATTATCTGTTGAGTTTGATATATACAAATATATGTTTCAAAAAAGTTTTACAGAACAAATTAATAGGATTATGTATGTTCGTACCATATATATATATATAGGTTAATATATCTATATTCGTACTAATTTACAAATGTAATTGTTTTGTTTATTTCAGATACAATAGATAGCTATTTTTCAATGGGAATCTCTACAACTGTAATAAGGATTTTGATTTCCTTTCTATTTTGCTCAACACTATCATTAGGACGATATTTGGTAAGTTAATGTACCTGTATTTATCTTATAAAGAATTTATTTTTCAAAGACATGTTAAGACTTACATTCAAAAGAAAAATATTGCAGTTTCTTTTTGAGAATGGCATTTTTAAAGGTAAACATCAAACAAATATTTTGAGATTTTTTGTTTTATTTTAGTATTTTTTGTTTTATTCTACTAGTGACAAAACTCATTCATCACGTACGCGTTGTACTTTTTCCATGTATACCCATTAAATCACTGACTTAACCGCTCCTTATTTGACGATATGTGACCTATATTTGTGTTATTTAACCTGGTGGGAACTTTTCCAAGTGGGTAATGTGTACTTGTTTGACCTGACATCCTTTTTCTTTTCCAGAGTAATGACAATCTATTTCGGGAAGTAAAAAGGCTGGCAAAAGGTAAGATGATACAACCATTTTCTTACTATTGAAGTTATTGAATTGTTGTTAACAATATCGTCTGGAGATTATGTTAAAAGCTTTAAACGCATTCATTTGCCTGTTATAAAGACCGTCTGAGACATTCAAAAATAACGATTTTCTGTTTTTGACAGTTTGCCTAATTTATTTTTCATGCAAAATATCATTTATTCAACGAGATTTTCTTGTATAATACATTGTTCACACTGTTTTTTTTTCAATTACAGAAAAGCGAACGACCGAAGACAATAAATTATTTTTTAAGACTGGTGAGGATTTGCCTAGCGAAACAATAGGAACGGCACACGAAGACATTGTATTGGAATGTCAAGCTGGCGGAAAACCAGCAGCATCCATTCACTGGCTGAAGAATGGTATAAGAATTCAACAGGTAGTTATTATATAAAAGTATTAAAAAAAGGATGAAATGAATTTTTAATATTATTTTTATGACAAGTATTTCAATCAAGAAAAATAAGTCTAAAGCTTTTAACATCTTTAATTTTGGATATTTTGTTTGATGGTCTTGCATTCAGTTACCTTAAACTTGTGTCTGTTTCAAAAACTATTTGTTAATTTTAGAAGGAAAGTTTGCAAATGATTATCGGTAGTCAATTTGAAAAAAATGGGTTAAAACTTTATTTTCTACATATTCAAGTCGACCTTAAAATCCATTTCCGGAGAATAGTGGAACCAGCACCATCGTTTTTGTAAAATCATTATTTCATGATCCTTCATATTTTTCCAGGGTCCTTCAAGAGATTATAAAAACGACGAATTGTTTGTTGAGGAAATATTAAATGAGAAAAGAGGAGCATTAATAGGACTCGGTTTTACTAAATCAAAGTTATATTTGGACTGCCTGTCTCCCGAAGACGAAGGGGAGTACTCATGTGTAGCTGAAACAGCAACCCAGAGAATCGTCCAGACAACGCAAGTTTCAGTTGGTAAGTTCATAAGCATACATTTTTTACTGTTTTTATCTATAAAAATTGATGTAAAGCCTTAATGATTTAAAGGATGATCGCATCGTATAAAATTGGAACAATTGAAAATTTTATAAATTTATTGACTATTTAACGACTCTTCTATTGTTAATTATATTGTATTACATATATAAAGATTTGATCTAACTGTTGTTAATAAACCTTATACGTTCATTTCAGTTGGCAGATTTGAATCCAAAGCTCACGAAAAATGTATTGTAAAGAAATCGATTCATTGTAAGTATATATACAGCTTATTATATTTTTGAATGATTTAATAAGGAAGTAAAATAATAATGCAATTACATTTCCATGACTTTTTTTATTCGTTTCTTTTTTATCGTTCTTTCTTTACTTAAATATACCACGGTATTTGATATAACATCATTTGAACTTTAAACATAAGTTTTATATATGTATTTTTCTATTGTAGCTGCTTCTGCAAGAATATTTCTATGGACAAGCCATAGAGTCGAAATAAGTGGTGCTTCTGTCCAACTAATGTGCAGAGTAGAAGGTAGTCCATCACCGATGGTATCATGGGTTACCCCAAAAGGCAAAGAAATTTCACATCCTACAGAAAAATATGAGGTCAGTTTATTTATATTTTAAAATGATAAAATAGAACACGTTCAGTCTTTAATTTTTAATTCTCGGCTGTTTTTTGAAACTCCGTATTCTAAGCCGATTTTTATCATGTTGATTTAGACATTTTTGTCTATTTTTATGTCTAGGTTTTCATTTTAACTCATCAGTGGTTTTTTTTTTAATGTTAAGTCATTATCACAAATTCTCTGCGAAATTTTTATATATTTAGTATCACATTTCAAATTTCTAGTATATTTAGTAGATTAGTAGATGTTTGACATTCAGTTTACGTTATAAATTCATATCGGATTTTTTTTTTGTTCGCTATGAATTGATTTTTAAATGACCCGTTTTTTCATATTTCAGGTGCTAAGTAATGGAGATTTATTGATACGGAACATTTCGTGGAAAGACATGGGATCATATACTTGTTCATGTGCTAATGATGCAGGCGTTGACGAAATCTCAACATTCCTTTACCCAGTAAGTATGAGTCTGTTAGCATGGACAATCTAGGGACAACACAACTTCTGATTCTTATAAAACTATTGATTACCTAACGTCAAATATTGTTAAAGATGCTTCAAGCTGACACAAGACGAACAAGAGCACTCGCTATTTTTTTTTAATTTTAAATTTTAAACATACGTCAACGAGAACATAACAACCCAACTCCTTTATTCATGATATTAAAAAAAACAAACAAAAACACGCAAACATTAAAATGATCTACTAAGACTCCACAAGTATAAGTTATTTTCTATTGCCAATGCTTATTTTTTGTAAACGTCCCGAATATAAGGTATATGAAAATGGTAAAACACAGGACATCAAACGTTTACTTCGGTCGCTTAAATCAAAGAAAGGGAAACAATCAGATAATAGTCCTTAACAGTGTATCAAAACATAAGTGACAGGGTTTTAAACTGTAGCAAAAACATAATAAATCAGTTTGTCAAGACTGTTGCAAAATGATATCATAATATTATTTCATTATCTCCTGTAATACTAAAATGATTTCGTCTTTTCTTTGTAGACAAGAAGGAGATCGTAACACTTACCCGTAAAGGCATGATACAGAATTCCAGCCATTTTACTGTCTCTTACAATTTCATTCCGAAAGCTTAACAATCTGGTTCCACAAAGAGACTTTAATCTTGCCCGAGAGATCCATGAACCAGTCCCAACATTTGTTGTTGGTTGTTGTTGAATATGTGCAATGGTTATATTGTTGTGTTCTCTGTTAAAACTTTACAATTGTTGAAGAATTTGTCTCATATATTATTTTTAATGCATTTTGCGTTCCGAATAACTCGGATAGTCCACGATATTAACTATTCACCTTCATCTTAATCAATTTTTTTCTTTCTTATTTCTTGAAGTAGTCAAGAGTGCATGCAAGAGTATAAATTGGAATGTTGAATGTGGTATATTAGTAGTGAGCAACAAAATACACATATCTGTGAGAAAAAGTCTTCTTTGAACAATTTATGTTTTAAATTAGAAACCTTTAGTGAACCAACCTCAATTTCTAATGTCGTCTGCAATTGATGCATGACGTAATTTTTCTGAGAAATTTATCCATGACGTCATCAAAACATATCATTGTGAATCATTATTTATTTATAATTGTTCATTCTGTGCCATTTTTATTGTAAAATAGTCATCCTATTTATTTATTTGTTTTATTTATTGAGATTATTTATTGATGAATATGACATAATGTGTAATATTGTGCTCAAAATTGACAAATGCCTTTAATAAATCCAGATGATTTTCTGTATGTGTTGTATAATTTATCTTCCTGTCTTTTCATGATCGAATTAGCTATTTTTGCCATTCCCTTGGAGATTAAAGCAAATGGATCGGTTGATGATCATTTTGTAAGACCGTACTTGTTTCATAAACGCAGACAAATCTACAATCAATTCATAAAAGAAATGGTCGTAAACCTATGTCGAGTTAACTCATTAGTCACAATACATCATCATCCAAAGGGTTAAATGAAATATTAATGATAATTGCTTATTTGATGGAATATTACAGTTGCTGAAGACCAGATAAATATCAATAAGTCATTTCCAATCGTTTTGAATATCCACAAATTGGATAGATGGTAATTATTTAAATGGTCATAAATTGTAACTGTTCACCAAACAAATGACCACATAGTGGAAGGTATAATAAGTAATTCCAATAAGCTAAACGTTATTGCAGAAAAATGGAAATGGGATCGTGTCTCTAATTTCCTGAGCTCAAAGAGTCCGGGTCAATTTCCCCTCTTATTTGTTTTACTCATATGTTCAAAATAAGAAAGCTACTAAAGTCTTGATATTTACAAGTCTTGTTTGATATATATATTTGAACATTTTTCAAAAATTCTACATGTTTCCATAAAATTAACATGTTATTCAACGCTAGATCTTGCTGTTTTGATACATTAATTACTGCTAATTTCATATGATGATGCAAAATTTGGTATTAAATTGGCCTATAGTAGATAGTTGTGTCATTGGCAATCATACTACATCTCATTAGTTCTTTAGAGACATATTTATTCTAACCGATTTCATCCGGTATCGTCCTAATGATTTTATTATCCTTTTTTTTTTGGCCCCAGACCGTATCATAGTAACTGGACGATGGTTGATGCACGTATAGTAGGAGATGCAGAACGTGTAGACAAACCTACTTTTGGAGTTCATTTGATTCCAACTGTTGTCCCCAATCATGTCTATATATAATAGGACACGTCTTGTAAACATCAATAAGAAGACATCGAATAACCAAAAAAACTAAAAAAATCCACAAAACAAAACAAAAAACAAAACAAAACAAAAAAATAAAAAAAATAAACGGGCTACTAGAGGTCAAAATGTCGTAATTGTCTTTATCATATTTTAAACTCATAATCGTCCCGAGTCTAGACGTTTGAATAAATTAACAAATAGTCCGAAAGATCTGCCATCAACACCATATTCCCTAAAGAACAAAAACTTCAAAATTTAATCATTGATATCAAATGAAGATAATGATTTTGGACAGGAACGTAAACATATTGCGTGTTAAGCTAGTTTTTGAATACGCAAATCTCTTTTAAACATGGTGAAACATTAAGGCAACAGTAGTTTAATGATGTTCAAATCTCATAAATCGATTAAGAAGACAAACGAAGGTAACAAACACAAACTGAGGGAATCAAGTGCACTCAAAAATGAGCGAGACAGGTTGCGTTGACAAGGAAAGCATCTCCAGCTATGCATACATTACCTTCATGCGAATCCACACTCAGTCAAAATGTCTCAATCGGCAATGGATGGGACACAATCGATTAAATTAAAGATAAGACGACTATTCTTTCTAAGACTACGAACATATGTCGCTAGTGAGTTTAGACACAGGCATTTCGTATTGGTCAACTATTTCGTGATGGTGATGGTGACCGTACAACTTATGTAGTGTCGATTTTAGATTCATAAATCTGTTCGAGGAGTTTTTGGGTAAGGAACACACTCTTGCTAACGAAGTCCGTATAGTGTGAACATGCAGGAGCGTAACGTATGAACTAAAAAATGAAAATGTCATGCGATAGGGCTGAGGGTATGTTACTGCAGGGAAGTTGACGATTGGAAATTTGTCATATATTCTTGTTTGAAGTAGTCCATCTGTGCAAGCCTAATGTAACTAATCTGCTGATATAGAAATAATGTCATACAATGTCATATCGACCGATTAACTTCCGATTATCCTTCATCTAACCATCTAATAACGTCATCAACTGTGCAAGAAGTCACGATCTGTCGAAATTTCAAATGTAAATTTGTACCGAACTTTGATGCAGAAAAAAAATCCCAGAAAAGAGTTGAAATACTATCTTTATACTTGCTTGATTTGTAAATAATATACCAATAAAACACTGATATCAAATTACTGCAATTAAGTAAAAAACTTTTTTTTATGATAAAATTTATTAAATATTTTTAACAATTTATGATATCTGCTTGTCCCTATCATATGACAGAATTTTGAATACTTTTCTAATTTGCATCGTGGTCATAATGGATTTATTTTTTACGACAGCCGCTACAAAAGTATTATACATGCTCGAAAAATAAAAAGTTTCCAATTCTTGCGTCTCATCAACAATTTATCAGTATAAAGTCGAATGTACACGTTATGTGCTCTCTGTTCGTGCAAAAAAACAAAAAAAAACCCAAAAAAACTCATTAACGATACCAGACTTATAATTTTTTATGCTAGACACGCGTTTCGTCTACAAAAGACTCGTCAGTGACGCTCGAAACAAAAAAGTTAAAAGTCAAAATAAAGTACTAAATTGAAGAGCATTGAGGACCCAAAATTTCGAAAGGTTTTGACAAATACAGCTAAGGTAATCTATACCTTGGGTAGAAATCCTTAGTATGTCGAACATTAACATGTAAATAGTTAATTTATAAATAGGACCATATCGATAATAATCCATGTCAACACAGAAGTGCTGAATACTGGGCTGGTGATACTCTCGTGGAGAAATACTTCCACCAGCAGTGGCATCGACACAGTGGTTGTAAAAAAACTCATCATTGATACAAGGCTTATAATTTTGTAAATGAATAATGTCACCTTTGAAAACTTTCTACCTTTTTTGATTTAAAAACAGCGTAAAATAAGCGTTACCGTAGTATACTTGCTATATAGAATAACCAAAATAAGTGAAAAAACAGATTCAAAAAAGAGATTTTTCATAATTTGTCTGTATATAGATAAACACCTTGGAGGTTGAATTTTTCATCTTACCTGCTTTTCCTGGCATTTAGGCCAAAACCTTTTAAGAAAAATATTGATTTAATGTTTCCCATTGCGTAAACATTCCAAGTTTCCTCAGAATAACACAAACTAATTTTAAATATCCGCCATAGGAAGTTTTCCAGGAAATGACTTTTAGAACAAGGCCGGTAAAGTCTTGGTCAGTAAATTTATTATATCATTTTAAACTTTCAATCTACAACTAAGAGAGGTAACTATTAATCTCATGGAGGAAGCATTTAACATTTTGCCTTAAGTTCTAAAAGTTATTTTTAGTAGTGAGAGTATTGAGTATTTAAGTTTACTTTAAAGTCTGTGAATGCGCACAACTACATAAGTTAACACATGACATAGGCAAAATCTTTTTGATCTTACTGTGCTACATTGTATGCTCTGGATAATGCACAGATAAGGTGTGCATTAACTTCATAAGATATACTGCAAAGTTCAAATGTACTCTTACCTTAAGTGGCGGATCCAGGATTTTGCAAAGGGGAGCGTAATTCCATAAAACAAATTGACGATTTTATGCAAAAAAAAAAAAAATCCAATTAAAGGGAGCGTACTCCGTTTTCGCCACTACCCCCCCCCCCCCCCTTGTACAAACTTCGTCGTTAAAAATTTGAAAAAAGAAAGCATTTCTCATTCCTTAAACTAAGAACACTTAATGATAACATTTGTGTACAATGTAAATCTTAAATCAGTGTTTCAAAGTCAAACTAGATAAATATTTCTTTACATAAATTCTGCCAAACAAATAAATGTACAAATGTATTTAAGAATATCCAAATAATTGAAATCTGACTTGGATTAGTTTTGTGCTCAAGGGAATTTATTTTGACTTTTTAAAATATTTATTCCTTTTTGGTGACTAATTTGGGATAGAATTTAACGAGGTTCATATCAAAGGATTTATCAAAACAAGACAAAAATATAAGTTGCATATCAATCAGTCTTCATTTAGATGAAAACGTCTTCAAAATTAATCGCCGAATACAGTTGAAAAATGGAGGGAGGGTGGGGGTGTTAAATATTGAATTTTTTTAGCTGTTACACCACAGATTTAGGCACATCTCTCTTCGGTTTATCTTCCTCTGAGCATATTCTTGTTGGGAAAATATGAATAAATCTAACAGAAAAAAACAATGATTTGCCGTTTAAAAGCAATTCTCCAAATATTGTTACAATTTAGGAGAAAGTCAGAATATTAAAGTTAATAATTTAAAAGTTGTCAACCTTTTACTCGTTCAAGGCGTATTTTCCCCCTTTCTTTACCCTAAAAGAGAACTTTTCGCATATCTTTATATCACATGACAATGTATTAAATTATTTGGTTAGTGAAATAACTTTTGTTAAACTTAAAGCGTCTTCTCAGCATTCAATTAGCAAATTTGATGAAAATTGTTATGGGGAGCAATACCTTCAAGCACTCCTCAAAACTTGGACAACCCAAAATAAAGGCATTATATGCAAAACGGACATCAAACAGGTCATGGTATATAAGCTTATGACAACAATTTAGGCGTAGAAGACACGAATTTACTAATAAAACATTTTAGAAGTGAAAAAATTGTCTACATAGAATAGCAAAAACTGGCGAAAGTCAAATTTATCAGAGGAAATAGGTACTCAACTTTAAGTACAATTATGTTATTTACATAATAAAAATGTACAATTTTCACGTAGATAAATAACAGAAGAAGGCAATCTTATTATGTTCTCGGACTCCAGAAAGATTTGCATATCCCGGATCTGTATAGATCCCTGTTGCAATGCTGAATGACAAAGACATATATGTGAAATCATTAAATAGGTTCTATTATTCCTGTTATTCGCCTTTTCCTCTTCTGTGATGGTCCCACATTCTTCTAAAGGTATTGTTGTATAGACACATACTGCTATAATACTGCACGAAGAAATCAGGTTAGCTTATGTATTTTTAACAAAATTATCACAATTGTCCTTGAATTAAA